TGTATTTTTAATTAAAGATAGAAAATGTGTCAGAACCTCGATCTTACATAAACACTCCATATTCTGTGTACCACAAAAAAATAAAAACAGTTGTCTTTGGCTCAGTCTACAGAGAACACTCATGTGAATTTATTGTTTGGAAAACTGCTCAGCGTGGCCAGGAGACGCATCCCGGGTCATGCCAAAAAAAACTGCTTTACTATGTGAGGACTGATTGAAGTATGTCTTGCTAAACAAACACATATACTACATCTGACAGGAAGTGTTATTTGAAGGGAAACTGATGAAGCCTTGTCTGTTTTTTTATTGCTTCTTTGTTACCCAGGATGACCCTTGCTATATCTGAAACAAAAACAGGATCGTAAACACCACCTTTCAGCCTGATCTGACGCTTCTGTTTCTTTCTCAATTTCTTTATATATTTATCTCAGGGACTTGACTGAGAACCGTCTGAGTTCAGTCCCCGTTGCAGGATTGGCGGGGCTCACCCATCTCAAGCTGAGGGGCAACCCAGATTTATATGACGCTTTCAGCCCTGATCATTTTCCCCGTATGAGGTAACACAAACACACGCCCTCATGCATGCCTTATTCTTTCTTACTGGGTGTATTACTCGACATGAACTTGAAATGTTCTACAGAAAGTTTATTAACCTGCCCAGGTGTGTATCCTGTGGCTGTAAGGAAAAATGCGTCCTGTCCCATCACCTCAATTATGTTTCCCCTCACACGTTTCTATTAATATCTAAAAAATTCAACAATTAAATAATCACAATGTTTCCCTGCAAGCCATTGCTGGTGTGAACTTTTACAATGAGGAAGTGTGCATGGGTCGCAAGTTAATTCTTGTTACAATGATCCCTGAAGGCCTGGAGAGGTGCAGTGAAGTGAAACGGGAGATTGAGTTTCAAAGAAGATGGCAGGTGATCAAGTGGCAATGTCAGCATTACTGTTCAACATGGTCCAAAACAGAACTCCTGGCAGAGAGCTATTCGAAAAAAAACTGCACATGCACAGCAAACGTTTGTGTACAAGCATCCACACCAAAGACAGTCGAGCCAGACCTCAGAAAAATAGATGTTTTTCCAACAAATGATGGGTAATTTAGTTTGATTTGCGATATGTACTCAAAAAGACGTCCACATTTTCTGAGTCCGTCTTAAAACAATATTCCCAGGCACATGAGTATATGTCTTGCTGTAATGATAACTTCTGTTTGCAAGGTCCATTGGAAATATATCTATTTCTAATGTGTTTCCAATGCAAGGGATGGGGGGGTTAAATCAGTGTTTACTCTGTACAGTTTATCTGAGGCTATTGAGGTTTCAGCAATATGTTGTAATCAAATCAAGAGGGTAGTTTACCATTGTAAAGTACAAAGTCCCCTCATTACACACAGAACAGGGGCTGTGGAGTTTGTCCACTGTCACTTTCGTGTTAAGATATTATATATATTAATGAACGGCATGAACAAGAGGAATGATTACAGGAGGGAAAAGCTGTTTCAATATTGGCACCAACTGTTTTAGCTCCAGTCTGTTTTAGTGCTACAGAAACAGATTTATTAACTGGGTCTAAAACCTGCACAAGCTCACAATAATAGGAATAAAAAGTGTGTTTCATACATCTGGTCTAAATACTGTGTTCACCTGTTTGTTCCAGGGTGATAGAGATGCCTTACGCCTACCAGTGCTGTTTATATGGTTCCTGTGACACCTACAAGCCAGTCAGTCAGTGGGACACAGAGCAAAGCAGCACAGATGAGGACCTACACAAGAGGACTGTGGCCATGTACCCTATCCACGCTGACACACACTGTAAGAAAGCACATCCTTACAACATCTGCGTGGACGCATATACAGAATAAAACACACATGGAGCACACCGAGGGGTAAAGTCGTACATGGAAATCTGAGCCCCATATGTCTGGGCGTGCCGCCGAATTATTGACACAAGCCGTCTTGAAACATGTCAGAGCCCTGCAGAAACCACAGCTACCTGGCAGCCGACACACTCTTACACTCGAGTGTTGACCCTTCAAACGCGTTCCTGTGGCAGCCGTAAAATATAAACACTAATAAACCGAAATTAAGTTGAAATTAAAACTATTAAACCCTACACCATTAAAAGCTGAAAATAAACTATTTCTGGGTGAACCGAAAAGTAACAATAACAAAAGATGATTAAACCATAGCATGCCACTGATTTAAATTTATTCACCTTTAATTGTTAGAAAAACAGACACGATAATCAAATTTCATGCAAGTGCTAATTATCTTTGAGATGTTTTCTTTTGGTCAGCGCAAAAGAATGTTGAACATCCCCCCATATAACAACCACCAACAGCCAGTGCCACACACAACTCATATACATATACATACATATGCTGTGTACGTGCAGATTTTCATTTTTACAATACTTTCTTCCAGATGACCCTGACCTGGAGGAGTTCCAACTGGAAATAGAAGAATCAAAACTACAGACCAGCGTCCAATGCACACCCACGCCAGGTACCTACATTTTACACCTTCAGTGATCAATTAGCTTGCAGACTGTTTTGTCAAAGGAACACTTCAGTGATTTGTTTGTTTGCAGGTCCTTTCCGTCCTTGTGACTCTCTGTTGGGCAGCTGGCTGGTCCGTGTGGGCTTGTGGTCCATCTCCCTGGTGTCTTTGCTGGGGAACTCCATCCTGCTCCTGTCCCTCTTTGGCTCACCTGGCTACCTGTCGCCACTCCGCTTCACTGTAGCCTGCATGGGCGCCTCCAATCTTCTGACGGGTGTGTGTACGTGCACCCTGACCCTTGTGGATGCTCTTACCCTGGGAGAGTTTGGTCACCACGGTGCCCGCTGGGAGGGGGGTCCCGGCTGTCAGGCAACAGGATGGGTCTGGGTGTTTGCATCTGAGGCTAGCGTACTGCTGCTGACTCTTGCAGCTGTGCAGTGTGGCGTGAGTGTGACATGCGCCCGGGCCTATGGGAAGTCGCCATCTCTTGGAAGTGTACGCACATGTGCACTGTTCTGCCTTACTCTTTCCCTCACCCTGGCCTCTCTCCCACTTGTAGGAGTTGGGGAATATGGGTCCTCACCTTTTTGCCTTCCCTCACCTCTACCACCCCCATCCTCTCGGCTGCCCTCCTCCCTGGGGTTCCCCTTGGCCCTCATTATGATGAACACCCTGTGCTTGCTAATAGTCACAGGTTCGTACATCCGCCTTTACTGGGAGTTACTTAGGGGAGAGTGTGAGGGCTTGTGGGACTGCGCCATGATCAAACATGTTGCCTGGCTGATATTCACCAACGGCCTCCTCTATGTACCGGTAGCTTTCCTCTCACTCTGCTCCCTCTTGGGTCTTCTCTCTCTTGGGGAGGAGGTGCTAAAATCAACCCTCCTGCTTCTCCAGCCCCTGCCTGCCTGCCTCAACCCCCTCCTCTTCCTACTCTTCACACGGGACCACTCGCAGATCTTCTTCTGGTCTCGCCCCAAAGCCCGTCCGCAGCTACGCAGGGACCACACCCTGGATTCACTGGTTTCTGTGGAGACAGAGAAGAGCTCCTGCTCCGACTCATCGACACAGACGTCACTCGCCGATTCTGATGCTCTGTATAGTGAGGGGTCCCCTCTCCAGCCCCGACTAGATCCAATACGTTTTTCCCACTGCTCCTCTACTTCCTCTGTCCCCCTCATCCCTTGCCAGATTCCCACTCCTGCTGCCAGAGATAGAGACAGAGCGACAGAATGGGGAGGCCTGAGCGAGGATGGATGTCTGAGGAGTTTGGATCAAGATGGGATTCATAACGCTCACCCTCTGTATTACTCCGCCATGACCCCCTCTCTCAGCTCTCATCCATGAGCCTCCAAGCTAGCTGTTTGAATAGCTGGGACGCTATGGACACACAAGGACCATGATCGAACAGCAGCATTAATATCAGCTCTGGGTTATTAATCCTCAAGCACCTAAGAGTGAGTCCACAGAGAGACAATAGTACTTTATAGACGTCTATGAGAACACAACAAAGTGCCTCTGAAATAAGAGAGTACAACTTAAAGTTCCCTTCAGAATAAAGACTATTAAAATGAAACACCACAATACAGGGTGACTGTCAAAATAAAGGACTATTTCAGACACTGCTCAGTGGACTGTGACAGTCATGTACTCAGACGACTGAGAAATAGAAGCTGTTAACCACATGGAAAATCTCACCGCCAGACAAATCAATGTTTTAGTGGTTGGAAGGGGATTTAGGTAGATCCAGTAGAATTTTATGTGTAAATGTTTATATTGAAATGTGATCATGAGACATGCAACTTAGAGGTTACAGACTGTTCGGTTATATTTTAAGTGGACTTATCTTATTTGTCTTTGTTAAAATATAAGTTCTTTACTATTGCTAAGGTCTGTTTCAAATAAAAGGGATTCATCATCAATGCACCGGGACATTTTACCAGAGTAAGCTAACATTTTTTTGCTCACAGAGATGTTACTGTCGGATATATATTTCTAAGCAACTGTGTAGTATCGGTTATAAAAATGCAACAGGAGACGGATCGCTTATACAGTTTTACATGGTTTACAGGATTTTATCTCAAATATGCAACTCTGCCCAACAGGAGGCAGGCAGTCATACAGACTGAATGGGATGTAGCTATCTTTCTACAGACATTAGAGCAGGCTAGCAATATGTACATACAATGTAACTACCTCTGAACTAGCATGCTATTGACTCAATACAGCCTTATGATGTTTGTCTTTCTTTTTATACGATAAACAGCAAATATATGATTTTATATGTTAAGAAATAAATCCTTAGTTTGTAAAGAAAAATGTCTTGCTATTTAGGATGTACATACTTTGTATACAATTGGTAAGCATATGTTTGAATAAAATTATTATCTTCATACTGTATATACTTCTTACTGAACCACTCTGCTTATGCATGAAGCACCTTCACAATAGGAGACATGGTGGTGTCTAATATATTCAAGAAGTTCAATCTATTCAGTTCATTTTGAATAAACTTTAATAACACAACAAAACATAAAAAATAAACATATTTCTGATTTAAAAAGAGGAATACACAGATAATAGGTGGAAGTAGTAATTAACTTTTTAAGTGCAGGCAGGATTAAAATGCATGGTGGCTCTGGAACTGTGGCTCCAACAAGCGAGGTGGAAACCACCTACACGCAGGTTTTCTTTGCTGACTCCTCTCCCTCCTGTTGTGCACCGAGCGGATGTCTTTTGCGGGATGAAGCTTTCTGATCTTGAGTATTTTCTTTGTTTCCCTCCACAACTTCCTGAAAAAAGAAAGAAGCAAGCTACTTCAAATAAAAACAGCTCAATCATCCCCACAGCAAAACTGAGAAGTATAAAATATTAACTTAAGAACTGAATATAAAGCTGCATATCAAGCTGCATCAATTTGTTGCAGGTGAATTTAAGCCAGTAGACAGCACTTTATCTAGAGCACAGCACCACCTTCTGGGTAAAATAAGCCACTACAAACAGCACATACAATAACTGAACATTTCTTTGAAATGAGGATAATAAATTATGAAACCCACTAAAAAAATGCAGTCTACCTGAGTTCAGTACAAATTCAACTAGAATGACTCACAGTAGAGTCCATAACTCTTTCAAGGCCCAACAGTTTCTTTTGAAACACATTTAAATTCACTTACCGTGTTTTTCTGAACGGCATGTTCCTGTGTCCACTTCCTGGCCGTCTCCATGAACAGCTGTTTGTTGTATTTGAACTCTGATGACTGCATTCACAAAATGTAAGTGTCTTTTTAGAGGTAACACATTCTATATGTATTACTGAAATGCATTGTACTGCAATTTTGAAATTGGCTGGTGTATTTTATTTAGTTGTAGACTAATTAGTTAGTCTATCATTTAGAAAACCACTGGCTGGAATACTAAACGAGTATTCATTTATTTCAGTGTTCAATCATTTTTCAAAGTATACATTTTAAGCACAGTATAGTTTAGTTCTCATTGTAGATATTGTAATGTCCCGAAAATATTTTTGAGAAAGCTCTTATGTCACATATCTATAATGATCACACTATTCAAAAAAGCAAACAAACCTCACAGTGTGACTATGTATCAGTTATTCTCCTCGAAGAGACAGTAAGATAGATGTTGATACAAGATTAAATGTGACTCACTATATCGGCCATGAGCGGGTCATCTGGATTGGGCTCAGCCATGAGCAGCTGAATAGAGGAGAGAACTGTGGAGATGTTTAAGGACGGCTTCCAGGCACCCTGGGTAAAAACAAAAGGATACATTAAATCTATACATATGCAGGTGACACGGTCATTCATCTAACAGCATATAAACAAACAGATAATGTGAAAATGATTATTTAGTGCTTGAAATCTTTAACTACCTTTGGCGGGAGTTTGAGAGCATCGTGGCAAATACGTCCTGAATTATCAATATTTGGATGGTAGATGGGGGTCAGGAATCGTATTTTGGGGGGCTCAAATGGGTACCTAAGAGAGGAAAACAACAAGTTAATAATGTTACTGGTATCGCAACAGAGAACTCAATTTATGTTAAACCTCTGTGAAAATGTACCTCTCTGGGACCTTGATCTCCAAAGAGAAGAGTCCACCTTCATAAGGAGTTTCTGTTCCACCAACTATCTCTGCAAATGAGAGACAGATATTAAGCTTGACATATACATGGTATGATCTTGAAAAAAATACATTTAGAAGATAGTAAATATTATATAACGCTTAAAATGACCAATTAATATCCATGTAAAACAGTTGCAAGACAAACTGAACATCATGAATTAGACTGCATAAGTTTTAGCTAGGTGTAGCCAATAAACTGGTTGAGTGTATGATATAAATGTACAGGTCACTGAGTGTACTATATATCAGGTATCACATTATTTAACATCATTTAATTGGCAGGAAATATTTATCATCTTAAGTCATTTTACATCCAGAGACAGAGAGTATACATACGTGCCCGGAGGTCATCCATCCGGTCCTCCGCCTGCCAGCATGTTATTCCGGGAGGTGGCTCAGTGCTCAGCATCTGAAGTTCACGCTTCAAACGGGACGTCCTCTGCATTCTGCAAAATAAAGAATCTATGAATCTGCTTTCATGCATAACAAAGAGAAGACAATGAGGACAAAAGGGGGGATTCTGACTCCTTTCTGGAATTTTTTTAACTTTATTGCTCACAATAAATTATAACAACATCGAGGTACAAAAATGTGTCAGAAATGAATATATACAAGTAAGATAAAACATATATCATTTACATATTTTGGGATATTGCTTTTAGTTTTGTAGAATGACAAATTGAATTGTACTGTGAATGCAACAAGTCAGTTTCCTAGCAGACAATTTGCATTATGAACATGGAACGTGTCCTTTATAATAACAATTAGAATCATAAAAACAATGTAAGTGTCTGTGTCTGAGTCCAGTCTTCAAGGACACGAAACAGAGCAGTCTTCAAAACAAAGGAACAACACAATGCAACACAACGACACTAATGATTCTGATAGGTTCATTTGAACTCATTCTCTGTGGCCGGTCCAACAAGCTGACTTGTTTTAAAATGACCAGTTAGTGAACCTGCTCTAATGTTAACCAGCTGCTTCCTGTCGCCACGAGCCTCCTGACAGCGCCTCCTGGAGTCTAACGACCTCACCGGGGTTTCTATGAAACGTGAATATTTCATATTAAATCCCACTCGCTTACTTTCACACCGTCCTCAGAGTCTGCTGTCCACTTCTTCAGCTTCTGTCTTCACCTTTCTAACGACCTGACTTGTGTTTTCAGATTTCCCTCGCTCTGCCTTCTCTTCGTCACCTCCGCGCTCCGCTTCCTCTTCCGCTTCTTCTTCTTCTGTTATACGGCGGCGCATTGTCGCCCCCTACCGCTGAGTACATGTGTAGCAACCAGGTCCAATTACAAGAACTGGGATTAAACTGAATCAATATCAATGATCAGTTACTAAATGAACCCGTTTCCACTTTATCCACCTGATAACATTCTATTGTTATTCACAGTTATCACTTGGGAAAACTAATCTGATGTTTCTCTTCCATGTTGTTCCATGTTGTTAATACTGTGAATACTAGTCCATTTGCACAAATTGTGATTTGTGCAAATGGACTATGCAAAGAAAATTTGATTGAATGATTGTGATTGCTAGCGATGTTTTTAATCCAGTTTTCCACATTCAGTACAATCACCTTCAGACTCAGTTCACCTGCATATTTTATTTTGACTTTTTTTCCCTGTTTATTCTTGTGTTTGCAATTTGCATCTTTGCACCAGATTACCTCACATTCACAACTGTGTATGTTTATCTACATTGTTTTACACATATGCAGTTTGGTTTCGTGTAATGGACACAACAGAAGCACAGTCATCATTACATTTAACATTGTTTTAATTATTGGCTTTGCATAAATTTGCTTCAATAGGGTTTATATAAACATTCTTAACAACATGGTTATGTTTCAAAGATATCATGTGTGCATGCATAGTGTATTTCTGAGTGTAATTAACAAAGTAGATAGATGATACAGTTCTGATTATAAATCGGTTTCATTATGATGAATCAGTTTTACTGTTTTGAAAATTCAGAATATGAAAACAAAAATGCAGACCAAAAAGAGGAATGTATAATCTCTATCTGTAGATATCTCACTTCAGGGCCGTGGCGAAGATAGCCTGAAAAGTGATGTTTTTGTACATTTTGTCTTCCATCCTGACATCAGTGAAGCCAGAGTCTCTCAGAGCCACCATGTAAGTGTCCGGGTGCCAGTTCTTATCGGGAATCATATTCTTTCCTGCTACCACCCTCACAGCGGACAGCCTCAGCGTGGTAACCATCAGGCCTCCTGGGTGGATTCAAGAGAGAGAAACCTGGTTTCATATATGCTCAGAGGCATCACTTAGAGGCAGTGATTGGTCAGATTGGTCTGTCTCACCGTTACAGTGTCATATCCTACCTGCTTTCATTACCCGGTGTATCTCAGTGGCTCCCTTCCTGAGGTCAGGCCAAAAGTAATAGCAGTTACAGTGAAACACTTTATCCACTGTGCTGTCTGCAAGAGGCATTGCTTCTACATTACAGTGATGCAGTGTCACTTTCCCACTCGCCACAAGTTCCTTCACTCTCTCGCTTGCCATCTGTGAGGGAAGAGCAAAATAAATATATTAATATTGTTCCTTTATGTAAAATATTGTTATTATAACCAGGGCTCCTTCGGCTTTCAAAAAGTTGAAATCAAGACTTTTAAGTACCATAATAAATTGATATTAAGATCTCTTTCCCAGCAGAAACCTTGTACAGACAGCAGCTTGTTCAAAATTCTACAGCTAGAATCTGAACCAAAACCAGGAAAAGAAAACATATCACTTCACTGCTGGTAAAGCTGATGATAGATTTTAAAATTCTCTTTTTAATTGTTTTTAAAGATTAAAATGGGCTGTGAGAATTTATACATCACCTTATGCATGTACTCAGAGTAATCCACCCCGATAAGACGGCCTGTGGGCTCTGTTAGCAGTTCTGCTGCTGCTTCTAGACCCAGACCCGGGCCATGGCCCACTTCCAGCACAGTGTCGCCAGGTTGGATCCCGCACAGCTTCACGGCGTTCTTCTCAAGGAAATGGTTGTACACTTTAAAGAACTTACTGGCCAGCCACCCTGCTACTGAACGTGTTGGGCGACGCAGCTGTTGCCCCACTTTTTCAGGCCACATCACTTGAGAAACAGAAAATACAAGTTGGTTGTACAACTGAACAACTTCAGAGATTTATATCAAACAAACTGCACAAACAATGTTTTTAGCATTACAGCTTGACCAATATGGATTTTTGGGGACCGATGGCGATGTTGATACCAATATCAGGGAGTCAAAAAAAGTTTGATGCCGACATATCAGCTCACTTTTTTTTTTTATTCCAAAGATGTTTGAGCCCTTATGACAAATAAATAAATGGGGCTCAATATTTAACAGTTTAAATATAAACTTTACTATGAATAACTTTTTTAATGTAAACTCTAAACATAAACGCAAGTCTTTACTGGATTTGTTATTCTGTAAACTAAACTGGTGTGGTTCTAATTGGCACAGCCAGCAACCCCATATTTTACAACAAATAAAAAATGACATTACTCTACATTTATATTTGAATATTTTGGACAAAATGCATTTTGGTTGATGACTGTACAACAAATAAGAAATCCAAATATACAGCACATTTATCTAATCGCAGGTTTTCCAATCCAAAGTCCAACCTTGCTTTTATGGACTTAACCTTAAGGGATGCGGCATTATGCTATAAGATTATACATGTTTGTTGAAGTGGGTTGGTTAAACTTTACTCGGCTTTAGACTTTGCTCAGTTCAAGACCTTAAATTTCCCGAGCTGTGTTAAATCTGCTGTACATCAGCATAACTATTACCATTACAGCCAAACTGCTATGATCACGTACATAATATTTATTTCTTTAACACTTGTTTGACATGATTCCGCAAGATAGTAAACGAGTCACTTATACACGTATAAGGCATTTGCGTAAGTTATCTGGCGTACAACTGTATAGTGGATAAGATAGTTGGTTAGAAAGCGCAAACTAAATCATTTTATAATTAAGTTTCTCACAGACGCTTCTTTCACGCGTTAACACGCACGAGCATCTCACTTTGGTCCTTGTGCGTGTTTTCGCTTCACGCGCTCCTGACGCGGATGTGTTTGTTTTGCTGGAGCTCAGAGGAGAAGTACGGAAAGCCTGAAGTGCCCAAAAGCCTCGAAGGCTATTTCTGTTTTTAGTGCGCATGCTTCTGAACGCTGCAGTCGCTTATTACTCCCTGTCATTTCTAACCACTCACTTTCCTGCAGTTTCATGTTTCAATCATTTCATTCTTGTATTTGTCTGTCTTGTGTTTATTATCACTGTGGCTTGACCTGGTTGTTTATATACTAAAACTTCCCCACCATGATAAACTTATATTTGGAGATGATCTGTCCTCGCTTCCTCCAATCCGCCTGCCTGGCGCACGCCCCTCAGCAGGGATCTGGTTCTCTTTCGTTTTCATTTCCCGGAAGGGTCGAATGTGAAAATAGGAGAGTTTTATTTCATCGAGAGTTATTTTTTTTATTCCTCGTTTGTAATGAAGTTCTGAGAGAATTAACCAGAAGTTTTAGTTCGTGTTTGGACGAGTTTTATGTCTGATTACAAGAAAATAATCCTATTTCCTTCAAGGGTTTTTTTCAAATGGAGAACGTTTCCCTGTCACCTTTGGACAAGGTAAGTGAAGGTCTCAGGAACAAGCTGTTTAATAATGTGTTGTATTTTAAAATTAAATTTTGACAACAACAATAATATGAATAATAACCATAGTATTATTATGTAAATATTTTAGATTATTTTAATAATGTTCAAAACGGTTTAAAAGCCTAACGCTCTGCTTTTCTACTGCTCCTAATAAGTAAATGAATGCGCACTGAAGACTGAAGGGCATGTGTGTGCATGTTTCGTAGCAGGAAAACACAGCCAACACTTTGTCATCATCAATGAATGGAGAGCAGGCCAACAAATGTCCCAGAGTGCATCACTCCCCTGCCCACCATCCTCAGGAGGACCTGTGGCATCTACCTGGACGTCTACGTGAGTCAATAACTCTCCTCTCTGTTTGACAGCTCTGAATAATGTGCAACGACTGCAGCAGCATCAACCAGCACAAACTCAACCAGTCACTGTGTGGTTTGTTTGAATCTATTTTCCAGGAATCAACCCATCTCTGTGGGATAAAGAGGATGTCGCCCACTGGCTCCACTGGGCTCAGAGGGAGTACTCACTGCGGCGATCAGAGAAGGGACCATTCGAGATGAACGGTCGAGCCCTGTGCCTGCTCACAAAGGAGGACTTCAGACGCCGCTGCCCCAGCTCAGGTTGAAATGAGTATGAGTGTGCAAAAACAAGAGCCTGCTGACTCCCCCCTGATTTTGTTCCTGTGTTTTCACGTGCACTTGTGTGGTTCTCTCCAGGTGATGTTCTGTACGAGATCCTTCAGTGTGTGAAACAACAGAGGAGGGGTGCTGTCTGCGATCCGCAAAATAAGCCTCCCGCCCTGACCCTGGGAAACATACACAGCCAGGGCCCAGTCATCTGCCAGGTCCCAGCCGTCAGTGTCCAAGAACCTCAGCCTCCCACAGTCAATGACACCCAAGGTCAGAAGGTCAAGAAGTGTATTCCTGAACATATTCAGAATCACTCTCATTTCATGACATACAGACAAACACATATACAAAGATATCAATCTGAACAAATGTAGCATAAACAAATCATATTGGAATCAAATACAACAAACTATAAACTGTAAATGTCAGATTGTCCACATGTACAGGCTATGCAGAGTGTGAGGCAGTGAAGAGCACACAAACATAAATACTCAAACAAATGTGTGTCTTGTCAAATCAAACTTGTTAGATTGTTGTTGTAAATACTTCCTGATCAACCACATGAACATGTGCAAACACATCATGCTGCTCTTTCCTGCATTGCTACTCTACTTGTGAGGACACCCACTGACTTCTTATCCCCAAACTCACTTTTGCAGTGATTTAAATGGCCCCTGAACCTGTCCTGTCAGTATTCTTTGGAAAGAAAACTTGAAAAATGGTTAAGAATTTTTACATCTAAGCTTTTTTGAAATACACATTTTTGAACAAGAAACAATTTGCAAAATATATTCAATGATTTTTGTGAATTTTGTTCAAAGCTATAGCACTAACATTAAAAAAAGGGAAAGACTTAAATGTGCATCTTACTGAATCAAAATGTTGGACATATAACTGGTCTTTGTGACCCCTTTGCTAATTGTGACCCCTTTTGCAGATCCACCACTGGACCAGGGGCCTGCTGGGTAGTTTACAGGATCGGAGTGCATCATAGTTTTAATGTTATGTTTTATATGTGAAAAGTAGAGGAACAAAAACTGCAACATTTTCCCTATAAAGCAATAAATGAATGAATTAAGTACTGGTCACTCAAATCGGTGCAGACTTTGCACTTTGTTACTCTCCACTGGTGAGAATATTTTACCACACACATACAAACACACACGTTCCCTACCATCGCAAGTTGCAAGGTACTTTCCATAGAGGAAGTACAGTGTGTGACAGTGGGTGTGTCGGGTTTACCTGTAAAACCAGTGTTTTATTAACTCCACAGTTCAGAACAAGGATTTTACAGTTCTGTGCTCTGTATCTAAGTAATAAAATGACTTCCTCAGGTCAAACTTTGCACTATAGCCTTCACCACACACATTGATGTGAAATGACAAAGTAGCTGTAAAAATCACTTTTGCTTTCACTTTAGCTCTTTGTCACAGTTCCTCATGTTTCTCTCTCACACAGCTTCCCTCGCTTTCACCAGCGCAGTGTCAACAGCTGTGGTGACCACTGTGAGCCAATCAGAGCCCACGTCACCTCTCAGAGATCGTCCGTCGACCTTTCACGCTCATGTTGTTCCACTCATACATATTAGTGGGTATATCAAACTGTTATAGCACAGTTGAAATGATTTACTGTAATGTCTGATCTGCTGTAATTCCCTCCTCTCTCTCTTGGATCAGCAGCTGTCCCCACATCTCCCCACAGCAAAGCTCAGTGTCCTCCAACAAAGAGCATCAGCCAGGAGCCCCTCAACCTGTCGAGTCGAGAGAGGAGCCCAGTGCACAAAGTCAATGGTCGCATCCCAGGTACTGCTACGTTAATTTATAAATAGTTCTACAACAGTGTTCTCTTGGAAGGTTTAACACATAAATGAGCTACTTCAGATTTTTCATCATCTGCTCATAAAGAAGAGGTTAAAACCATAACCATCACTCAGGGGCAAAAATCTTGAAACTATAATTGAAATAATAGCAAGACATTTATTGTGATAATTATCGATATCGACTGATATGAATATTTAGATCTTGATAGGATTTTTGGGCAGAGTAAACAGCACTACTAACTGGAAAACTTTAAATATTGAATGAAATTGGCTTTAAGAACACAGAAAAACACAAGACTGGGTGTTAAGTTGAAATGAGTACATTTATGCACTTTTAACTTTTACGAAAATAGTCTTTAAATGATCTTTGGAAGATTGACATGTTTACAGCACACATGCTTGGGTATGACCAAGTCTTCGAGTTTGTGTTGTATTTAAAAAAAAAAGAAGTGTGTATTCCCTGTGGGGTTGGACGATATGGCCAAAAACAAATTTCATATCAGTTTATATTGATAAATGTTTAGATTTAAAGACTGATTTTTGCTCCTGAGTGAAGGTTGTGGTGTCAAACTCTTCTTAATGGGCACATAATGATGAAGCATTAACAAATCTGAGGTGGATTAAGTATATCTTACATATCTCCACATTGTGCTTGTACTGTGAATGAGCATTATATCAATATATACTGAACCTTTGTTATATTGCCACTGATCAAAAGTATATTGCAATAATTATTGAAATAACTGTATTGCCCAACCCTAATCCACTGCATATTAGATCCCTTATTGAGATTTAAATGTCTGTCTTGCTGTTGTTTTCATGATTCACTGCCAGAGTGCAGACTGCTATGGGACTATGTGTATCAGCTACTGTGTGACGAACGTTACCAACAATACATTCGATGGGAAGACAGGGACAGCCTGGTGTTCAGGGTGGTCGACCCAAACGGACTGGCGTGTCTCTGGGGAAACCACAAGGTGAGCACTTAGTTCTGTGTGGTTCATCTGACAGGGGACATTGTTGTAAGAGGCGTTACGCAGCCCTCTTTATAACGTAGAGCTGTTTTTACAGAACCGAGACAATATGACCTATGAGAAAATGTCCCGTGCTCTGCGGCACTACTACAAGCTCAACATCATCAAAAAGGAGCGAGGTCAAAAACTCCTCTTCAGGTCTCTGTCTTTTTCTCTTTCTCAGTCACTGTCGGTATTTTCCCCAATGACAGCACTGGCAAGTAGTAGTTATTGCTTCCTGTCTATCTCCCCTCAGGTTTTTGAAACTCCCACAGGACATCAGGAAACAGCAGGCCGACCCCGCCGAGTCCCCAGAACACACATCACCTCCGGACGGGAACTTTTCAGACAGCAGTCCCGTGTACGAGATCAATGAAGACCATTTTGAGATTTCCCCTGATCGTATGTCTCCACAGCCTCCTCTAACTGATGCTCCTGTAAGAAAGAGAAAAGTCTTTAAATGTAACTAAGTATAACAACAAACTGTAGTGCCCATCAGAGAGGAGACTGGTGTCTTTATCTTTCAGTTTTAGCTTTAGAAAAAAATAACCCAGGCATTAACGGTTAAACAAAATGCATTGTTAGATGGATTGTCAGAAATTGCACTGTGAGAGCTTTTTATTTTGCTGTTTTTTTTCTGCGATCAGAATGAACACTAAGGGATAAGGGAAACTGTGAGAGAAATTAAAACAATAATGCCCAGAATTTAAATTTCTCAGGCTCACTCAAAATAATGGCATTACAGTAAATAGACTTATTTTCATGCACTAAATACTGCAAGTCCTGTAGGTAATGGGTTTGAATGGATGATTTATTTTCAGTTTTCTCAGATTGGATGAAAAAGCAGAGATTATTCATGTTCACACAAAAAAACTGTTCAGTACAAAAGCCAGGTTTAACATGAAAATTGTTATTTTACTATAGTTTGTGATGACTCAACCTGCAGATGGAGTTTGTTTGTGTTGTAAAGTTAATATTTGCTAAGTGCTAACATGTGTCCTGCATTGTAAATGTAATATTTTGTATTTCATTAAAATGGATTGTGGATAATTGCACATTCTTTCTAACTATTTTATGTAATAATAATACATTTATGTCATCCATTTAATATTTCAATGCACAGTACATGATACTTTTGGCAGCTTGATGTTGCGGAGATGTTGCGGATTGGATCTTTGAGCACAGTGAAGCACAAAGACAAAAGAGACAGATCAAAACAAGGTGGCCCATTTACATTTTCATTAGCTGTTTCACTTAAGAGCAAACACAACCTCATGTAATACAGGAAACCTCTGAGCTAAACCCACTCAATCACAGTAGCCTACTTCTTACTTACTCCCCAAGTCAAAGATGGCACTTGTACCTGCAGAGGGTGCTGTGGTAGCTTAGTAAACAGCAGCTGAGATGATGAGAGTACTTAACCACCTAAAGAGCAGGGATTCATTTTTATTACAATTATTTGTTTATTACAATTATTTGATTGCATGAAACCAATGACTACTTTCATGTTTGTTTCCTTGATTAAGTAATAGACAAACAAATAAAAAAGAAAGATTTCAATAACTTCAAATTACATTGAACACTCAATACTCGTGTATTTTCAGTGTAACTCAATTTTTGACTAAAATGCTTTAGCTATCCTTTTGAAAACTTTGAAATCCTAGAAAATGTCTTTCTGCAAATCTGTACTAAATGTACTGAAGTGGGCGGTTTGTTTAAGTCTGATTTTGTTGTTGATTTGAATTTTTGTTCATTCGTTCAGGATTTCCAAACATCTGGAGAGTTTTGTTTACAGGCATCACATGGAAGTCTGTAATGACTACACACAGAACTGAACCCAGGTGCACGACAACAGACAGGCTTAGTGCAGTCAATGTGGTTTATCTACAAAGAGAGCAGAAAAAAAAGACAGGCAGGGGTCAAAACCAGGATAACAGTCCGTTTAGCAAACAAATCCGAAGGGGCAGTAGATGGGAATCCAAAACCCAAACGGGGGTCTTAATCAGGTCAGGAACAGGCAGGCCCGAACTCAGAATATAAACATTGGATAGCTAGGAATGAAAATGAGCGGTAAAAATACAAAGATGAACTAATGAGGGAATGGGGAGCTTGTGAATGTGTGTTTAGGATTTTGCTTGTGAGGGTGACTGGATCTAAAATGACAGAGAGAGATGATTAGAAACAAGGCATTGGTAGATCGTTGTGACAAAGTCAGTTTGAGATAAGCAAACCAAAATCAGCTTTTAGGAGTAGAAAGAGAAAAAAGTGATTGACAGTGTTGCATGCCAGACAAGCAGTTCCTGAATTGGACCAAAAAAGGTGCCAGTACCCGATAATCCAACAGTTCACAATATGATCATCACATGTATCTTGGATACATTTATATGCATATTTTGGTAATATATACCTCTTCAAATGTATTTTTTATGCATTTCATTGCACATACATTATTCTAATGAAATTTAACACGAATATAAAACCTTCTGAAAATATGATATCTGTTTTAGTCCTAATACAAGTGTCCCAGATTACCAAGGGATTTGTCCCAGATTATCACATTTTTCAGACATAATTTGTTTTTTGGTACAAAGAACATTAAAAGCTGTGCCGTGTCTCCTCTGAGTATGATATCTCCATTCTTTCTTCTGGTGTGGTTAGAAAATATCTTAAGTATTACAAAAAGGTATAATATATTGATCTAATGGAAGGGCAGTAACGTCTGTCAAGGATAAATATCTTGGCAGGACACAGTGCGTACTCATGTGTACATGTGCATGCCAAGACTCCCCAGGAGGTGGCGGTAAACAATAAGAAGTAACAGTACTCATGAGAACAAAGCTCAGAAGTGCTAATTGTATGGCACATTACTGGTACTGGTACCACGTGGGTATGACCAATATGGTATGTCTAATTGAGATGTGCTTATTAACACTATCAGCCATTTTCCACTGAACAACTCATCTCAGTCTACTTGAACTGGCTCCTCTTTATAGCAGAACTTGTGCCACAGCACAAATGTTTTTTACCATCTACAATTAAAACAGAACTTCAAACAGATCATTGAAAAGCTTCAGAAAATGGCTTCAGGAGTTGCTCCTCAGTCCATCTCCTTCTCTGGGTCTGGATTCATGGCCACCTACCAGTTAGGGGTCGCCCAGTGTTTCCTAAACTATGTTCCCTGGATTCTGAGCACAGCTCCGTATGTTCTCGGTGCGTCTGCTGGATCTCTGGTGGCAGCTGCTGTGGTCTGTGAAATGAGCCCAAGTAAGTGACTTGATTAATTCTTCAAAACTGTTTCACGATGATTATCTTTTCTTCTGACTCACAGCTCTCTGTGTATTATAGTCACCATTCGGGATGAGATAATACACTTCGCCAAACAGATGAAGGCTTTTACACTCGGGCCATTCAACCCCTCAATCAATGTGTTCCACTGGTTGGAGAGTGTTTTAAACAAGTATCTTTCCCCTGATGCACACAACTTGGCCAGCGGTCGTCTCGCTGTGGCTATGACCCGCCTGAGTGATGGCAAGCACATAGTGATGACTGAGTTTCAGTCCAAAGAGGATGTAGTACAGGTGAGTTTGCACTACAGGTCCCTGAGTATAGGAAACAAACACATGGACATGTGTAATTCTTGCATGTTGTCTTTAGGCCCTGCTTTGTAGCTGCTTTGTGCCTTGGTACTGTGGTATTCTGCCTCCATCCTTCAAAGGAGAAGTGAGTATATTTGATGCTTTTCTCACAGACTCACTTGCAGCCCGGTTTTTGGTCTGTGTCCTCATACTGTATATGTGATCATGTCTTGCAGTATTATGTAGATGGAGGTTTCAGTGGCATGCAGCCTGTACTGCCTGTGTCCTGCAGCAACACGTTGACAGTGTCCCCGTTCTCCGGAGAGACCGACATCTGCCCCTCAGACACGCCATGCATTTGGGACATGGTGGTGAGCGGATCCACGCTGAAGGGCAACATGGCCAACAGCTTCAGGGTCATCAATGCTCTTTACCCCATGGCTTTAGAGGTAAGTCTCATGGTGTATCTCACTGGATGCTACACTCTCAATGGGTAATGCTGATGATCATTGTGGATCAAGGCAACAACAACACTGAGAAAAAGACATTTAGCTATATTTGTGTCTCTGTCTCTGCAGACGCTGGATCAAGCCTTCTACAGCGGCTACAAAGACACCATTGATTTTCTTCTGCGCAATGGTTGGTTCAAATACTGTGGAAAATTGTAAACCCGAAGACACAACATTTGTAATACAGGCGCTCAACCTTAACCTAATTTCTTTCAATGAAATGTTTTTTTCTCCCCATGTGCAGATCTCGCCCCCTGTTCAATGGTTAAAACAATATCAATATCCAATATCTGCAACCAAACTAAAGTGGGGAGGCATCTGGAGACCACCATAGAGGAAGAGGTGGAGCAGGATAAAGCCACACTGACATCTTTTACAGACAACAGACATATACAGACGGGCAATGTCAAAATCCAGAGGTAAGCAGAGGTAATAAATTCACTGAAATATACTGTACACAACTGTCTGCTCTGAAACTTTTCATAGGGAGGCGGGGGGGGATTATTCACTTTTTATCTTTCATTGAACGGAACAGTATTTGGGGGGATGGGGAAAACCACTCACATACATGTTTGTGTCTTTGCGTCAAGATATATGTAATACACATATGTATGTTGAGTTTACTACATTTTATGTATGTTTGGGTAAGCAAGATGACCAAAAACAATTGAATAGATTTCCACAAAACCTATTGGAAGGATGCGGTTAGGGTCAGGGAAGAACAAATTCAATTTTGGTTGTGGATCCGAATCAGGGGGCAGATCCAGGAATTGGTTTTCAGTTTCTTTAACATTATCACTGTTTCCCATGGAATCATTCATAGCTTTTGACTTTTTTTGTTTTCAGTATGTCTTTTCTGTCTCCATGCAGATTTCAGACGCTGCAAAGCTTCACTCCAGAGTTTTTTTTCTGGGCCTGGCATTGCCTGAGACATTTTTTGTTCTTCTTTTTCAACATGGTTGTCGGTAGCCTCAAGAAGAACATGAAGGACAGGTAAAACAATTGAAGTACTATCCTGGAAACCTGTTCAGTTGTATTAGATACATGTTTACTTAGTTTGTCACTGATTTTTAACACATTTTTGCTGTTTGTCAATCTGACTCAATTGGACCCAGGTTGACTGGACTTGATTTGTTTCTTTGTTTTAGGGTCTTGCCCATCATCATGTTGTTGAAGTGGCTGAAAATGCAGTCCCTGTATGAGGCTGTACGGGGAAAGGTGCACTCATCGACTGGCAATAACTCTTCTGACCAATCAGATAATATCAAGCGTGGGTATTCACGTACGCGGCTCGTCACTCCATCACAGGATTACAAGAAAACAAAATAAAAAACGTATCAATCGATCACATGGACTCAAAAAAGACTCAAGGCTGAGTTTGGTTTTAACTCAAAAATGTCTTTGTTTTGTCTAAGTTGGTGAAAATGCTTCTGATGTTTCACTTTGTTATAGTATCAGTGGGGTGCTGGCCTCCTAAGCCCAGGATTTCTTTTATTTTCCAGTCAACACTGTACTGGTAATATTATTACAGCACATGAATCTAACCAAACAGTTCAAATTAACAAGCAACACAAGACTCATACCAGTAAACCAGTGTTTAGTCTGAAAGTGAAGGGCTAACCAGACTCATATTGTGTGGCCAATGTTGTGACGATTGGCCTGAGGAGACAGTGGATGACGTTTTCTCCGAAATCAATGTTTCTGATGACCAGTCTTCCATGTTAGGCCTAATGAATGATATCTACAAATCAAATGTTTTACAGCCTGCAGTGATGTTTGTTTTAAAAAGCAATGATGTGCGGATGTCTCTTAATCAGCTGATGATTGATGAAAAAGTTTTATTTGTTATGTATGCTATAGTGGAACATCCCAAAAACCAATTTTTCACTCAAGTTAGCTTAAGTGTCACTGCAGGGAACGTATTTACTGTTCCTAATTTAATTCGCACATGAGAGATGACACTGTCTTGTGACTTGCTATTTGAACACTGCACCCTTTCATTCTGCGTCCTGTTGGTGGTTAGCGTTCGCTTTTCACTAATTTTTCATAAGCATTCACTTTCCACTCACACGGATCCACTGTTAAGCTTCTTGCATGAGCTAATTTCCTAAATGGCTGGAAATTGTAACTGTGTGCTGTGACTCAAAAATCATTGACTTCATTTGGCTCCTGTACTCAAGATAAAATCACTCTTGGAATCCTGTTTGCGATAAATGTTTAATAAATGATGCTTGCTTAACTTGTACAATGTCTTTTTTTATTTTTTACTAAATTGTACACCACAATACAAAAATGAAAGGAGAAATAAACAGGATGAATTAAAAACAAAACAAACAAGCTGCCAGGTCACAAGAAATACAAAAGACAATCTTGGATGTCAGTCTGTACTGTCCAAAAAGTCCAGAAGTGAGTTGAGGGCCAGAAACACAGTCCATGAGGTCAAAACCAGCAGAGGTCGAGGAAGGCCCATAGTGAGTCCAGACGGATCAGGCACAATGCATTACCATTCAGTGATAAACTGTAAACAGAATAATAAAAATATAATCTATACATTTCATTCTGAGACTGACACCTCTCTCTGCAAATATGCTCTTGAGGATGCAGATCTTGAGAAACCTAAAGTGGGATCCTGACAGAGTGCTGCAAATTTCTTCGAGGTATAAACATGAAACCACGTCGTTACACCGTTTATTTATTCATGATTGCTGCTTTGATCTGTCATTATGAATCACAGGTCAGGTATCACATCTCTATTATGATGCAGCCATGTTTAGTTCTTGCAGATTTTCTCTAATTCATATTTACTTTTAACATTTGGAAATGAATAGGTCATTAATTCAAAGGAGACTTCTCTTGTTCTTGTTTCTTACTACTCACCGTATGGATGGATGAACTGATTTCAGAGTGGAAACAAACAAATTTGCCAATAACTGTTTAGACTGAGGAGTGAAACAGTGGTGTAATGCTTATCACTAGAAAACATAAAGGTCCACACACAAGTTGAGATTCCAACACACTTTTATTCTCCCTGCTAAGGCCCGTTTTCAGACAAAGTACAAAGCAGATACACTAGGACACTAGAGTATAATAGAATTCGGATGTGCATGCTTGTGGATACTTTCTACAGTGGTTATCACTGCAAGAAGGTTCTGGGCTCAAACCCCTCTTTGTTCAGGGCCTTACTATGTGGAGCAATTTCGCCCTGTGCCTGCAAGCACTTTCTGTGGGTCCTTTGGCTTCCTCCCACAGTTCAAAGGCTGAGGCTTTCATTTGCCTGGAGGTGTGAATGTGGGCATATTCATGCATATTCAGTTGTTCCCACATGTCAGTGCTGTGATAGACTGGCCTCATGTCAGGAGTGTTCCCTGTCGCTCGCCCAATGTGACCTCTATAGGACCCTTATGCTGTTAATATCCCCACAAGATGACGCTTTGAGCAGCGTGGAGCGCAGTGCAGCTGAAAATTAAACATGTCTGCCAGATCGCTCTCCCTCTGTAGAACACACATCAGACAAACTTGAAAACAGTTCTGATGTAAACTCAAAATGTGATCTCACAGATTTGTATTCAACTTTGTGCATGTACCAACTTTCAAATCTCTAAGATTAGATAATCGTTTATTAGTCCCACAATGGGAGAGTCTGCAATATTACAGCAGCCCGAATCAAACATAAACATCAGTAAGTAATAACAAGTAATATGCAATACTCAAGTGTAAGGATAATAATTTCTAGGTGTAAAGAAATATAAAAAATACAGAAAATGTGTATGGAATAAAAACTAATAACTAGTGTAAATCCAAGAAAAATATGTGCAAAGTGTGAATATGCACAGTGAATGGATTGAACATGAACCATTGTATTGCACAAACAAAATGAATATTGCAAAGTTAAACCAGAGTTAAAGTGCAGTTCATATCGGGATGCGAAATACTGAGATTTCAAGCATTAAAATAAATATCATGCTGCATTTGTGCTGCATCAGTTGTTTGCCAAGAGAATAGGTGACCACAATATAACTGCAGGCACACTTTAAAATATAATAGACACACGTATTTATCACAGAGAGTAGAAATACTTCTGGATGGTAAGATGTGTTGGCACAGATCAGGGACAGATCATTTGATATCCATGTCCTTTTTATACAGATGGTCTGTTACCTGTGGGGAGATCCTCTTATGTAACGGGTGTGGATGCATCACACGGATAACACACACATCTGCTGCTGTCCCACACCAGCCACTGATCCAGCCAGTCAGCTGGCAACCAGCTGTCTTTGTTGAGACAGAGCGGAAACACCCAAAAAACTGAGCCATGTAGGATTCATACATTCAGGATATGATGTGTCAGATTGTGTTGATCAAGAAAATATCACAAGGCAGTTTGAGTGTCTCTACTCTAGAAAATGGTTGATACTACAGCACTGTCTGCTGTCGTCATTTTGGTGATGATGATACCTCTAGAGGCACATGACCTTTTCACTAATCCACCTAACAACCGGGTGAACAGAGAGTATTTACGTGAGCAGCTTGACATTTGTTGGGTGTTTTTCGTGAAATGTTTTTCGATTTTCAGAAAAAAAGTGCGGACTGCTCTTTGTGAGAGGAGAGACACACAGGGGTGTGACTGGTTTTATGCTGATTACAGAGTCAATGCTCCTGATCAATGGAGATAAAAAAAACTAAAACAAAGAGAGGATGACATTTGACATTATATTTATCATTAAAATTGTAGAATTTAGTGATATCTAGTGGTGAAGTTACATGCTGCAGTTGAATACCCCTCATCTCACCCTGCCCTTCCCAACATGAAAAATAACCCGTGGCAGCCTTCAGTTGTCATAAAAACTCAAAAGGTGTTTAGTTTGTCCAGTCTGGACTAATGTAAAAAACATGGCAGCCTCCGTAGAGAGGACCCCCTTGATGTAAATATAAAGTATTTGAATATGAAGGGACTTTTCTGGGGTAAAGAAAACTACAATTCATACAATTTAGATGAAACAAACTAGTGAAAACTTCATGAGGATTATTCTACATTAAATTTCTGCCAATAGATCCCTTTCACCAAAATCTTACACACTGGACCTTTAAATAAAGTAGTTTAACTACAACTTTACACAAATGGGTCAAAATGTAGTGGTTCCAGGCTACAGCTTTAAAATAGTCACAGAGATGTTGTTTGAGAAACAGAGCAGAGAATATGAGGAAATTCTTCATCCTGATTATGAAATCTCTGATGCTTCTGACCATGAGACTACGCCACAGGGTTAATTGGGAGTTGTTGACGTGTTGAGTCTCTGCCTTTGCAACAATTTTAGCCGTGAATCTGGAATGACTGTGCTAACACTCTGAATCAAGAAAATCAATAGCACATAAACTTAAGTGTTTAGTGCAAATGGAATCCACTTTTGTGTGTCTGCTGTGAAAGGTGACTATGCCAGATGCAGGTTTCAAAATGGTTGTGCTTAGTCTCTTAACCAATTGGCACAGAATGGGAAAGAAAACCGTATTTGTGTTGGCACCTTTTGCAGCTTTGCATTGGATGTAAGATAAGACAATGTCAAAATAAGTTTGAGATAATTCATCGTCTCAACCAGACGCCTTATGTGACCAAATTGTCTGTCTTGAAGATGTGTAATCTGTGGGATCTGGAGGGGATGATTAATTCTGTCCACTCAATCAACAGACCTGAACAGATGTTGGCAGGGTTCACTAGGCATAACAACTTAACATGTTTTAATGAATGAGCCTCTCTCTCACCGTGTGTGTGTGAGAGCTGTCTCAGACAAACTCAGACAGACCTGGTGACACAAGTGACGAGTAAACAGCAACAGATTGACAGGTCTCTGTTTCTAATCTTTTCCTTCTCCTCCTCCATCGTCTTCCAAATTTAGAACTGACTTGATTAGATGAAGAAACGTTCTCACGATGATGAAGATGAAGATGTGTACCACTAAGGAAAGTGAAACACACTAACACTATCTTTCTTTACCTCTTCATCTCATCATATTATCCTTTCAGTTTAGAAGGTATTTTCGTTGTGGGTTATGTGCAGCAGTGTAATGCCCGTTGGTTCAGGATTAAAGCAGGACTTTGGAGGCTACAACCGAGACACTGCTCGTTTACTTTGAATGGGGTGACCTGATGCGTTGCAGAGCTGCATTGTAGTTCTGTCACATTTTATTTGCAGATTTTATTTCCTGTGCACTTCTCTTTATCATTGTATTGATAGCTAGCATAGCACGTTAGCAGGAAAGCTGGCCATTGTGTATGTGATCAATGTCATGACGATGATCACGCTGGCACTAAATATTGAGCACGCCCAACGTAACGTGTTAACGCAACACATAAGTGTGAGTACTTCAACCTTTTAATTATCATGTTTTAATTGATTCGATTATTATTTGACACTGAACAATGTGGCAGTTGACAAAAAAGAAAAGTATAAACAATTACAACTTTGTAAAACTATTTTTGTATATCAGGAGAATTTCTTTTTCCGTGTTTGCTATTTCAAAGACGACAACAACACGAGGAAAACTTGAAGGACTCACTATCAGCCTGTTACACAATTATGTTTGGAATATATATAACAGGAATCGGAGGTGACCACTGTATTGAATCCCATGACTGCCTGCAATGAATCCCAGTTTTGTTCTGAGTTTAGCTGTAAATATGAATCGCCACCCTGCGTTAATTTTAGCTGTCCCTGTTCCACTTACACAGTTAAAAACATTCATAGCCATTACAACCACAGCCATGGGTATTCATTTCCCTCAGATGCTCCTGTGGGGAGTATTTCAAAGTTAAAGCAAGAAATGGTAGATGCTGCTAAACACTGGCAACAGTGGCCTCTGCAGCCACAAGTGGTAATTACAGGATGCTGTTGAGCTTCAGCAATCAAACTCAAACACTCATGCAACAAACACAGCATCATCATCTCAGTCCAAACCAGAACATGAGCTGTCCACTCATTGCAAGATAGCAATCAATTCTTTAGATTGACTGAAATCATGTGAACCCACAGCAATCCTGCACTAATGAGTGGACACTACAGGAGCTATAGTCTCTCCACCTCTGCCTAGTGCTGTAAAGAATGACATGTCTTGTCCGAGCTAATGCTCAAGATATGGTGCAAGAACAAGTGTAAGCAGCACAGAGTGGGAATGAAAAAGTACAATTTAGAGAGAGAAAATTAGCTAAATGTGACCGAAATCCAACAATGATTCTATATTTTGCCTCCGAACCGAACCAGAGCTGGATGTCTCTTCTAATAAGAGGCATGTGCAGCGTGAATAAAAATCAAGTAGATAGCTCAGCCAACATGGCTGAACCCAACCCAAACCCGAAT